CCCTCAACACTGTTCAACTATTTACAAAGTGTGCACTACTATTACTGTTAATCTTCTCATCACTCCTTATCACCCATCCCCTCCCACTTATGATTGTAGGATTGTAACCTTGTCGCTTTTATCCTTACGATTTATATTGACTGGTTCCTAGTATTATTTGATTGTTGATTGTACCCTATGACTATCATTAAGTGTTGTACGTTATGATTCTTGATTCTTAACGAATGTATCTTTTCTTTATGTATACTGAGAGTATTTACACCAAGTCAAATTCCTTGTGTGTCCAATCACACTTGGCCAATAAAAAGTATTCTATTGAAAACGCCTTCCAATTTCCATAGAGTGGCCCAGGCCAAATTAAGAAGCATGAAACTAAGATGTATTTTGTTAGGTTTCCTTTTTCTCTTCCAAAGACACATATCTTCTTTTCCGTTCCCTTGTAATTAGGATAAGGAGATTTCATTGCCAGTTTTGCTTTGGACACAATTTCAGACAATATGGGGAAGCCTTTAAATAACTGTCTTGCTTTTTAGAAGAATATGTACCTCTCTGGGTTCCCTGGGAACTACTATAGTAGGTTTGTGAAACACTTTTCCAAATGGTTTACAGAACTCTAGTAATGATCGAAATTAGAATTATCCAGACCTTGGAACTATATCAATTTCTATTCCACCAGACAAACAGTATTACCAATTTCCTTCCTTCTACAGCAGGCAACAGCTGTTGTAAACATTAAACTTCATCTTATTTGGAATGAGTATCCTCAATTCTTTGAGATATCCACAATGTTATCTTTAATGCAGCATGATTAAAATTTAAAGATAATTCTACAAAATGAAGGAAAAATTACTAAATAGCCAAAAGCATGGGACTGCCTCTTCCTGATTTCATCTGCCCATCTTACCAGACCCAATAGAATGGACATATTATGCAGTGGTGGGATTCAAATTTTTTTACTACCAGTTCTGTGGGTGTGGCTTGGTGGGCATGGCAGGGGAAGGATACTGTAAAATCTCCAGTCAGAGATGGTATTTGCCAGTTCTCCAAACTACTCAAAATTTCCGCTACCGGTTCTCTAGAACTGGTCAGAACCTGCTGAATACCACCTCTGATATTATGGGTTGCCTCTTCTAGGGAGCTTCATCCCTAGGTGGTAGGCTTTTCTGCCATAGTCTCTGCATTGTGGAATCTTCTCCTCAGAGATGAGATCAGCCTCATCAATGCTGAGTATTCAAAAATGCCTCAAAACCTGGATATTTCAACAGGTCTAAGGACCCCAAGGGACAAGTAAACAAGTGATGTGGCTCTCATATTGTTAATATTCCTCTGCCTATTCATTTCCTACTGTTTTACTTTTGTTTTATAATTTTAATGCTTTTAAATGATTAATGGTATGACAATTTTATATTTCTACTGTTTTACTAGATTGCTGTACACCACTCAGTCATTCACTATGAGATTTGTAGCCATTTAAATTTGATTAATTATTAAAAATTAAAAAAATAATACCATACAGTTGGATGGTCTATTAAGAAATATTCCACCCTAATGTGTTATTTATTTATTTTATTTATTTTCCAAAAGGAAACCTACTGTAGTTCTTTAAAGCAAACCTCAAACTACAAGTCCTTAGGAAGCTGTATTCTAAGATTGTCTTTACTCCCTTTTATTTCATAAATAATAGATATCATTTGTGTACTATGCTCAAATGGCAATTTCTATTTGCATAATCTATAGTGATAAACTTCTGCTAATTACTATTTTCACTCTTTAACAAATACACGTCTTATTCATACATTACAATTTTAAACTTACTACTTGTAGCTGCCACTGATTTGGGGTAGAGGTAATAAATAATTACAATGGACAGGACAGTGGTATAAATGAGTCATCAGTCTGGTCTGTTTTGCAAATTCTGTTGTTATAATTATCTATATAACATAAGATAGTATCAACAATGTTTTTTTTCCATGGCGATTCATGGGAAATATTTGAAGTTCATTTGCAGATTTCGTTCATACCCTTTACTTTAATATTAGTTTTGGGAAACAAATATCTGAAGAATCTATCTCCAATCACTTCTGTCTATATGAAAACAAATTATACGGCTGGCATAAGGAAAAGAGAAAGTGTCTTTTTTCAGTGTGTATACACGTTAAGACTAATCTGTAAAGAATTTTTTTTGTTGTGTAATTGTGTAATTATATACAGTAGGCCAGGATCTCCCCACCAGTTTATCAGAAGTACAGGTAGTCCTCGACTTACAACAGTTCACTTAATGAGCATTTGAAATTACAAAAGCACTGAAAAAATGACTTGTGACCATTTTTCACACTTACAACTGTTGCGGCATCCCCATGGTCACATGATTTACATTCAGGACATTTGACAACTGACTCACATTTATGATGGTTGTAGCCTCCCAAAATCATGTGATCACCTTCTCTAATCTTTTGACAAGCAAAGTCATTGGGAAACCAGATTCACTTAACAACCGTGTTACTAATTTAACAACTGCAGTGATTCATTTGACAAAAGTGGCAAGAAAAGTAAAATGGGGCAAAATTCACTTAACAAATTTCTCCCTTAGCAACATAAATTTTGGGCTCAATTGTGGTCGTAATTTGAGGATTAACTGTAATTTATGTCTGTCACCTAATTCAAACTTCTGCTACTTCATAGCCACCTCACCACAAAGATCTATGATACACTTCGAATTCTAGAAGATTGCCATAGCAATCTTAAAATTGGGGAATGTTTCCTAGAGAAAGGACTTCCTAAATACTATCTTGACTCTCACCGTGGTGGTTTCCTGTACAAGTTCAGAGTCTAACATGCCTAGCCACTTAGCTGTTATCATCCCATGTTCTCTGAGGAACCAACATTGTGAAGTATGAAAAATGCCACTCCAGAGGCATTCTTTCTTATGCACATACAAAAGAGACAGAGCTTGCATTGTGATGGCATATTGGCCCCTTCTTGTTATTTGTATGGATACTTGTGACAATTACCCTACCTTAAATTTATATTATGGATGAATTCTTCTTGATTAATTTTTATCTATCTTGTGTTCTCTACATTTATTTTTTTTCTTCAGATGATTTTACCACAGGACAGTAAAAAGGCAAGGAACATTCTGACAAAGCCCACAGAAATTTATGAGTTATGCTAGCTGGTTTCTGCATGTGATTCTCTAAACAGGAAATTAATCTTTTTAAAGATTAAATTGATAAATCTTCTGATCCAATCTGTTATTGCCTTTAAAGTTGCCTTTGAAAGTGGACATTCAAAAATATTTTGGCTTATACAAACACTGAACAAAGCTCAATTTTTCTTGTCATGAATACTTACAAAAAGCACTAATCTAGAGATTCATTCTACCATGTATGAATGAATAACACAAATAACACAACATTACCAAATAAGGGCTGATAAAGGCTGAATTCATAGATAATCTGAAACTAGAATTTTTAAAACCATGTCTTGTTGAACAAGCCATTGTGACTTGATTTGTATACAACACTAAACCAGAACGACAATTTTACTAAACACTAAAAAGCAAACATGTAAATTATAACTTATTATTATGTGTAAACCCAGCAAAGAATTGGAAAAGGTCATATAGAAACCAAATCTAAGGGTTCAGTATGCAATTTGATTCACAATTATTTTCTCCTTAAATAATACCTAATTTTGATAATCTCAATCCTGAAATCTTATTTGTAAATATTACAGTTTTCCCACTAAATAAATCAAGGTATACATTAGCTTCTTTTAGTTCTTTTCAAATTAACTGAATAACAGGGAATGAGATAAGCATAAGTATCTTCACTTTTCTACTTTTTTGAAATCATTGAAGACTAGCTAAAAGGTAGACGACAAGTCCTTTCAAATATATAAGATCTAAACAACAGATTTGATAAATAGCAAAACAGCCTACCTATTAACCACTTCACAAGTAAAGTACCCAGTCAGTTGTCAGCATGCCACCGTGTGTGTACACAGGCACGTTTGGACATATATGGACCTATAAAGATCTAATAGGTTCTTCCTTCTGCCTTGAAATATGAAAACAAAGAACATAATATTGCATTTGCTAGCACCACTATTTTGTGTGTTCTTCTCATGTTTTCATGGACATGTTTTATGTCCTGCTCAGTAGATTATTAATTCTCAAATTATTTAATGCCAAACTATCAATTTAATGATGTATTGATATGATAGTGGCAAGCATAAAAGATATGCTATACATAAAAAGTTACAATATTAATAAGTCCTATTGACAGAATTGCAATGCATGAAACTTTTTCTACAATTCTGCAATTGCTAAAGTAAGTGAGAATGTATTTTTAATATAACAAGTACAGAGTTACAACTTTTTTCCTGGAATCTATATATCCACACAATTAAAATAAGAAAAAAATTGACTACCGCTGTTTTTATGACATGTTGGATTTGTGCGTTTGTGAGGTAATATGAAGTAGAAGAAGCTTTTCTAAGTAGTGCATGTATGAACCAAGAAAAGATGATAAGAAATTGAGACCAATGATATGAAGACTAAGAATACAAAAGATAACATTTGAATCAGAGAAGAAAACTTCAACCTGAGCAATGGCTTTTGTGAATATGTTAACTATTAAAACTGAATTTCCAAATTCTCTCCCAATATATTATAATTAGTTTCAAGTAAAACATAAACAGACAAACCAAATTTCCATTATTTTACATCGGCCTTAAATATGAACCTTCTTATGAAGACACATAGATGCTTTGAATCAAGTAAAATTAACTTGGTTCAAGTGCAAAATTCTCTGAGAAGGACAAAAATGGTATTTAATTCCTCACACTAACACTATTGCCCATTAATGAGTAAGCAGTTGAGGTACATGCTTGAAGGCCTTGGTTATCTGGGCTGTTTAAGGTTTAACTATGTTTATTTTAAAGTTCCAAAATACCACAGAGCTAAATAAGAGAGAAAGTAAAAAATAAAATAAGTTTACCTCTCTGTTGTGCAGGTGTGGGATGGTCTTGGGAAGTATTTCTTCCCCCATCCTGTTCTTTTATTTTTCCCTTATTTCCTCTGTTTGTTCAAAGCTTCTGACCAGGCAGGGAAAGAAAAAAAAAAAGAATAAGAATACACTGCTTGGGAGTATAAAAATCCAAGTTCCAGCTTAGCTTAGTGTCAAGAGTCCTATGTGGCCTGCTGTAAAGGCTGGGGGGGGGAGTTGAGGGAGGAGAGGAAGAGAGGGTGGGGAGAGCGGGTGTTTAGGGAGACAAAGCAATCAAGGTTTAAATTTAGACGCAAAACTAAACAGATACTGCCTTTCCAGGAGTGAGGGGAGAGAAGAGAGAGCAACAGAGAATTGGTTATGCACCCTATTTTTGCCTTTCTCGTTATTTCTCAAGTTTCTACTTCCTCTTCTTACTACATCTTTTTTTTTTTCCGGTAAAAGCTTTTGTTCTAGTATTTTTCCATAGTTTTCTGGATCTCTCTTCTTTAACCCAACAAGCAAAAGAGGAGGCTATTTACCCGTTTAAAGTATTAAGGCAATGTTAAGGCCACCTTCCAGAAACATAATCCAATAGATGAGGCATAAGGCTTTTAGCAAGCCATCTTTTAATTGTCACAGATTGTATACAAATACTTTAAAAGAGGATAAGGTCGGGTAGAGAACCTCTACATTTTGGCATGGCAATATTAATTGCCTTTTGTTGCAGATGTTTATATTTGCAAATCCTGTAAATTGGTGTTCTATAAACTGTCCTTTTAGGCCAGCAGCCTTTCTGTGTCTTCCAGTTTTGTTGACTTATAGCTCTCATAATTTCTCACCAACACAGAAAAAGGTCATGCTATGTGAATTGTAACCACACATATCTGGAGGGTGCCAGATTGGGAAAGACTAACTTTAAAGAGACAGAAGGAAACATGCCAAGTTATGTTTAATCCTTTCTGCACCCGTGCCAAATCAGCTGTCACTCCAGCAAATCAACTTCCAGAATGGAATCAGGAGAACGCCAGAAAGGTTTCTCTTGTCTGTCCAGCCCTAACATTGTTTTCCACTGATATAAGAAACAATGTAACCTCTATGTTTTCTTCCTTGTCTGTTTGTTGAAAAAAAAAAGGAAGTATCGGTTTAAAAGTATTTGCTGAACTTTTAAAAATTTTGCGCCTGAATCATTACAATTCTGTTTAGTGGTGGCACTTTAATCATAACTTAAGAAATAGCTACCTTTTCTGCAAAGAAATTAGGTTAATTAAGGCCATTTCTGCAATTAAGGCATCACTCAGTTTTTAGGTCAATAAATTACTAGTGATTTATTGCCTTGGTGATGTGTGGTGACATTAGGACCAATCAGAAGAAGGAGTGAAAGAGAGCCACTTAACCTTTCCTCAAACTTAAAGGAATCTCAAATGTGGGCATTGACTATTCTATTGTAGAAAGTTAGCACCCATCCCCTCTCCTAGAAGAAATAAATATTTTGAGAAGTATTAAAAAGGCAGAATATTATATTTCTCTAAATGAGAAATGGAGAAACATGTTTTTTTTTAGAGGCAGGAAGCAGATTCACTCTTAATAATCCTCACCTTTCTTAACAGCCCTCAGCAGATTTCATCAGTACTTAAGAGATGAAGAGATAGATAGCTCTATTCATAAGCAAACACCCTTACCCAAGTTCCAACAAAGGTAGGATTAGCCCTCAGCCACAATGGGAATTGCCCAAAGCCCCTTCAGTGCATCACCCTCAGAAACCTCAACCAAACTTAGCTCAGACAAACTCCTAGGATTTGAACATGGCCCCATGGGAGTCTGATAACACCCAATAGAATACATGTTTTTGAACAAGAAGTTCAAGTGCAAAGCCCAAGAGAAGGTATAAATAGCCCCCACTCTCAACTCCATTTGTCAGCTGCATCAAAACCACAAACACATACTTCTGTTCATAAATAACTGGACCCTCTTTCCAATCAGCCTCCAGTCCCCATTTTGTCTCCAGTGCCTTTCTCCCGGTTTGGAACTGAACTAGATGGATATTTCTTCCAACACTATGTTTTAATATATTCAAATTTTATATTCACACTTTTAAAATACTATGTTTTGTTTTCATGTGTGCATCATTTAATGTATAAAAATAATGGCTATGGCTGCTAAACAGGAAGCAGATATTTCTGTAGTTCTCGTAACATTTAATGGCATGCAAGCAGAAGTAGTTTGGTGGGGGTGGGGTGGTGTATACTTTTCGTCATTCCTGCAACTGTCTTTCTGGCAAATATATCTCTGATTTCAAAGTACAAGAGAATTTTCACAGATGCAGTTGTATGTGCACTTCTTCTGAGGTTTTATTTTGATTTAAATCCAAATAGTCTCTGAGGATCCTAGGATTCTCCACCAGACTAAAAAAGGCAAAGGAGGATTACAGGATGAGAAGAGAGGGTCAATAAATAAATATAGCTAGGATGTCAGTAAACACATCTCCAGTGAGGACAAATATCTTACGGGAGGAAATGATAAATATATCCTTTGGTAGCCGCTTCCAAATGAAACATCTCAGTGTTTCTTTTTATTACAAAAGAATACAAGCAATGCCAGAAAATTGCAGAAGGATCCTTTCTGTCAGGTTGGGCCTAGTCTTTCTGCAGATATCTATGCTCTATAGATGATGATACTTGCAAGAAAATGAAAAAGGTGTTCTTTTTTTTTTCCAACATAGTTTACATGGCATCAGGAAAATGGTGAATATGTTACTATTTCTTCCCAATAGATTCTTTTACTAAACCTCAGAACACAAACAGAAAGAAGCAGAAATGGAACAGCTGTGAAATAAAGCCAATTCAGTTGAGCAATCTTATCTGCTCTCATGGTCTGATTTTTGGTTACTGTACCCACTTTAGCCTATTTACTTAGAGGACCTTTACTTAGGGGACCTTTGGTCCATTAGGTTTGTGATCTAACAGAATAACAGAGTTGGAAGGGACCTTGGAGGTCTTCTAAACACCTACTCAAGCAGGAGATTCTATATTATGTATGACGTTACTGTCCAAGCTCTACTTAAAAACCTCCAGTGATGGAGCACGCAACACTTCTGCAGGCAAGCACTTCCACTAATTAATTTTTCTCACTGTCAGGAAATTTCACCTTAGTTCTAGGTTGGATTTCTTTCTGATTAATTTCCATACGTTGCTTCTTGTCATGCTTTCAGGAGTTTTAGAGAATAGGTTGACTTCCTTTTCTTTGTGGTAGCCCCTTAGATACTGGAAGACTGCTACCATGTCATCACTACTCCTTCTCTTCATTAGACTTATTGTATTCTTTAAGCAATAGAAATCTAATCAGTGTATCAGCAAGTTTGCAGCTGGGTGTTTCTCCCATGTTGTTAACCATGTTTGTAGACAGAGGGGAGAAAGGGAAATGGATTTGGATTTTAGGAAAAAAATGAACTTTTGTGGGGGTTGGGGGGACACAGGAATGAGTTAGGGACTGTTTGAACTAGGAATAGGGCAAAGGGAAAGAGACCATCAAGTGACCATTCAGCTGAAGCATTAAGGAGAACAAATCTAGTCTTGCTCCTTTTTTTAAGTACATCAGTTCAGAAAAAGAAACAAAGTTAACTGAGATCCAATAGTGCCAGAGATGGCTTCAAACTGGCTTAAAGTTATCATTAGATGTGGCCTAAAGTTAAGTTGGACAGGTATCAAAGGCTGGTCCGATTGTAGTGGTGCTTATAATTAATATCAAAAGGATATTGGTGTATAGTGGCCCAGGCATTACATCAGAGATAGCAATATAGATTCTGAAATTCAGAAACTGCACAGTTTATGTGAAAATGTTGTTCTATATTTAAACCAGTGGGCAAAAGAGAATATGGAATTTCTTTTTCCCTGCAATAAACCTTTCAGGAAATCACAATGATTAAAACTGATGAGTTCCCCCCCCCAAAAAAAAATTTCTTATTGTACTTTCCTATTCTTCCATTATGTTTTTACACAATAGGCCAAATAATTCTAAATCTGTTACAACAGAAACCTGCAAATGTTCACAACACACATTAGTCCAGTGCATATTTCACTTCACACAATCATGTTTATTTGGGATAAAAGTATAAAAATATATCGTGAGCTCAACTGGTATGTTTCTGAAATAGTATAACAGTCATTAAACCTGGAAATCATACCGTATTGGATAAGGTTTTGAGCAAGGGTACATCAGCTGCAATGTTGAGAGCATTTGCCAACAGCAGAACTACTAAGTTATCTGTTGAAAAAGAAGAGAGCAATTTTTTGGGGTTCTCCTGTGCTTCTGCATTGTTGCCAAGAAAAGTCATCATTGCCATGAAGTCACCAGATTCGAGCTTAACTGCGAGGAACCTCACTTTTATAGAAGATGTAGTAAGAGAAAGAGCTTTGTATTTTTCAGCTTCATGAACTCAGAAGCCAACATCCTGTTTTGACCTGAGTGTTGTAAGTCTTTAAACTTTCTCAGATAATCCCAACAGGAAATGAATATAGGCTGTTCCTAGTATGATAAATTTGCTTTTTGACTCAAAAGATTAGATAAGAGCATCTTTAAAAAAAACTTCCTTTCTTTCTATGGATTTATCTGAACAAAATGAGGCTAGTAAAGATACGTTAGAAAATTTTGCTGCTTTTGAGCAACTGCTTTTAAGTTCATTTGAACATAGTGATTCTACAGTACAGAGAGCATTGACAGATTCCTGAAATGTAATTTTGAAGGAACCAGGTTACTTACAACAGAAAGCTGTCCTTAGAACCAAATACATAGTTTGCATATAATGTGTTCTCACCCAATTTAGTGTACAGTGAGGCTTTTTCTGCTCTAAAAAGCATATTACTTTTATACCAGCATAGTAAAGAGGAACTCTGAATACCATACTGTAGTTTTCTCCCATCTAACTGTTTCTGTTGACTCTGTTGAAACTGCAATTTTCAGAATTTATAGCCAGAAAGATGTTTGGCTGTACTCACTGCATATGTGGGAACATATCTATTTTTTAATTGAATAATGTTTGTTCAAGTAATTATGAAAGAAGATGAAATGTTTGCTGTAGATGATTACAATGGTAATACTAACTCTTAAATATGAAGTTTTCACACAAGAGTGTATTAGAGTTCAATTTTATCTGTCAAATAATTGCAAAAAGCTATTTGAAAAGGTTATTTACCAACTATCACATGCACATAATTTGTCCAACTAACCATAAATAG